AGACCACTAGAGCTAAGGATGCCAGAGTTGCTGGTAACCTTAAAGAGTATAAAAGAGTAAGAGATACAAGCCTGCTTACACAGAAGGCATTTTGGAGAGCTGAAGACAGCCGAGCAGGGAAGCAAGGAGTAATATAAATTAATGAGATGCTGATGGGGAGAATCACTCACATTGGTTCATTCTAAGGCCTCATTAAAATTTTCTCTTTTTTTGAGACAGGGTCTCACTTGTTGCCCTGGGTAGAATGCCATAGCATCATAGCTCCCAGCAATCTCAAACTTGGGCTTGAGCCTCTTGCCTCAGCCTCCAGGGTAGCAGGGACTACTGGCACCCACCACAATGCCCTGGCTAGTTTTTCTATTTTTAGTAGGGATAGGGGTCTCCCTCTTGCTCAGACTGATCTGGAATTCCTGAGCTCAAGTAATCCACCTGCCTTGCCCTCCCAGAGTGCTAGGATTTACAGGCATCAGCCACTACACCCAGCCAAAATAAAAGTTTTTTGTTTTTTGTTTTTTTTTTAATAGAGACAGAGTCTCACTTTACTGCCCTTGGTAGAGTGCCGTGGTGTCACACAGCACACAGCAACCTCCAATTCCTGGGCCCAGGCGATTCTCTTGCCTCACCCTCCCAAATAGCTGGGATTACAGACGCCCACCACAATACCTGGCTATTTTTAGAGACGGGGTCTCACTGGTTCAGGCTAGTCTCAAATCTGTGAACTCAGGCAATCCACCCACTTTGGCCTTCCAGAGTGCTAGGGTTACAGGCATGAGCCACTGTGCCAGGCCTTAATCAAAATAAATTTAAAAGTAAATAAAATCCTTCCTAGAGAGGCAGGAGTACAGACTCTTCAAACTGACACTGATATTCAGGGCCACAAAAGGCTATATGAGTAAAGTGATGTCCTACATGATGACAGGTATACAGAGTAGATTAGGACAGATACCAATAAGCATGTGGATAGAAAAAACACTTCCTCCTTCCTTGGCTGACCCCTTCACCTGACTACCCATTTTCCAAGTGTCCTCTGCCACCTCAATCCAACCAAATCTCAGCCCTCTGCTCCAGGGTACCCACCCCTGCCCTCTGCTGCCCCTAATCAGAAATTCTCCTAGAATCATATGCATGCTTCCCCTGGAATTATCTATGAACCTATGTGATCTCCTCAGCTAGACTGCAAGGGCCTGTCATACCAGGGCTGACAGAAATCCCTGGTGCAGAGCTTCACTCAAGAAGGCATAAAGAACTACTGAAAAATTACCCAAAGGAAGAAAACTGGGTCACGCATTCATTTGACAAATATTCAGGGAAAGGAACACAAAAAAGCTTGAAAGTCAGAGCCCTGAACTTGTCAGAGTCCAGAAGATTGAGCTGTCAGTCACTTCTTACAACTTGGTTGGATTTTGCCCCCAACCACAGCCCCATCCCACACATAGAGAGGACAAGCTGCGTGGAAACTGCACTAGGTGGTCCCAGTTTCACAGGTTTACCTGACATCTCCGGGAAACTGAGCTTGGGAGCACTGAGCAAGAGGCCTGTACTTGCTTCACTGGACAACAGGAAGACAGAGAGCAAAGAAACAGACATCTGCGGACCATGTTCAGTGCTGAGGGATAGAATGAAGGAGGCAGACAGCTACGTGGGGTGCTACTTATGACAGATGATCAGCAAAGACCTCAGTGAAGGGTGTTATCTGAGCTGCCACCTTAAGGAGAGGAAGGAGCCAAGCACTGGAAGTGCCAAGAGGGGAATGAAGAAAAGCACTTTAGGAAGAAGGAACAGTCAGTGGGACATCCTGAGGACCAAGAGATATTAGACAATGGGAGGGAAAGAAAGCAGTGCATATGGCTGCAGTGTGGGGGACCAGGAACAGCACAAAGTAGACAAAGCAGGACAGGCTGACATATGCCTGACTGGTAGGGCTTCATGGTTCCTGGGAAGGAATCAGGATTCTATTCCAAAAGGTTCTAAGGCAAATGAGTCACATGACCTGACTCCTCTTTTCATACATTCATGCAAATCACCACCCACCCTCCTCTAAAGCTAATCCTCTATCAGTAAAATAAGAATCCCCTCCTTAAAGTGCAAGGTGTAATGCAGGTAAGTGACAACATGCTAGAATGTATTTTATAGCTCTAAAGCACTCAATAGACTTTAGTTATCATCAAAGTTCAAATTAGGGCCAGTGTCAAAATTAGACAGGAAGTTTTATTTTTATTATTTTTTCTTTTTTTTATGTTTTATAACTTTTTTTTTTTTTTGAGACAGAGCCTCAAGCTCTCGCCCTGGGTAGAATGCCGTGGCATCACAGCTCACAGCAACCTCCAATTCCTGGGTTCAAGCGATTCTCCTGCCTCCACCTCCCAAATAGCTGGGACTACAGGTGCCCACCACAACGCCCAGCTATTTTTTTTTTGTTGCATCTATCATTGTTGTTTTGGGTGGGCCCGGGCTGGATTCGAACCTGCCACCTTAGGTGTATGTGGCTGGCGCCTTAGCCCCTTGAGCCACAGGCGCCAAGCCAACTTTTTTAATTAAATCATAGCAGTGTACGTTAATACTATCATGGGGTACAGTGTCCTGTTTCTATATACAATTTGAAATACTTTCATCCAACTGGTTAACATAGCCTTCATGTCTTTCTCTTAGTTATTGTGGTAAGACATTTATATTCTACATTTAGAGAGATTCACATGTACCGTTATAGGATGAACCATAGGCGTGATCCCATCAATCACCCTCCCTCCACCCACCCTCACTATTTATTTTTTCTGAGATAAAGTTTCACTTTGTTGCCCTCAGCATGACATCATAGTTCACAGCAACCTCCAACTCTTGTGCTCAAATGATCCCCTTGCCTTAGCCTCCCCAGTAGCTGGGACTACAGCGCCTGCCACAATGCCTGGCTAGTTTTTTAGAGATGGGGTCTCACTCTTGCTCAGGCTGGTCTTATACTCCTGACTTCAAGCAATCCACCCACCTCAGCCTCCCAGGGTGCTAGGATTGCAGGTGTGAGCCCCCTTACCCAGTCTTAGACAGGAATTTTTTTTTAAGTTTTTAAAAGACTCCCACCTCCACCCAAAACAAACTAATAATGCTTTCTCATAAAGTGAGCTTTTAGGGTAGGGAACCTGCAGCCTGAAGACCACATGTGGCCCTTAAGTGTGGCCTTTTGGCTAAATCCAAATTTTACAGAACAAATCCTTTTATTAAAAGGGATGCAAAAGAGAAAGATGAAGCTTTTGTTGCTTAAAAAAGAATAATCGTGAAATCAGATGGTCACAGATTCACCACCCACTATCTACAGATATTTAGTAGTAACAATACCTACTATCACAAGGCACTTAGTTTACAGAGCTCTTTCATATCTGTTACAAGAACTGTTAATTAATAACCACTGTTCTTTATGGCTGTCAATTTAGTGATAGTGTTGCAGATTGGCTACTCCTTACAATATTTACCAGTTGTACACAATCTCTCCTTGGATAAGCTAACCAGTCATGTCGACACATCATCTATTATCAGGTTTGACATCCTCACTTGCTGTGGTCTCTATCCTCAAATGTCCAAATCTAACAGAGATTGATGATAATAATCGTAGTACCACTGAGTGCTTCTAATGTGCTAGGCACAGTTGTACTTGCTCTACACAATCTTCCCATTATCCTAGTACTTTTTTTTTTTGACACAGGGTCTCATTCTGTTGTCCAAGCTAAACTGCAGTCAAGCCATCATAGCTCATTGCAACCTCAAACATCTGGGCTCAAGCAATCGTCCTGCCTCCGCCTTTGGAGTAATTGAGACTACAGACATGCACTACCACACCTAGTGGTATTTTTTGTAGAGATGGAGTCTCACTATGTTGCCTGTGTTGCCCAGGCTGGACTTGAACCCACTCAAGTGATCCTCCATCTTGGCCTCCCAAAGTTCCGGAATTATAGGTGTGAGCCACTGCCCCAGCCTCAATACATTTTTATACTCCATTTTTTACATAAGGCATCTGACGTGTAGAGAGGCTATGAGCTTCATCAGAGGACATTCAGTGGACTAAGTTGGAGGCAAAAGTTGATCTGACCCAGTGTCCTCATTAGTAATCGCTATGTTGTGCGATTATTTCAGCAAAGCGCTTATAATATGGTGCTTGGCACAACACAGGTATTCAGCAAATAAAAGCAGCTGTGATTAGCAGAACATAGGTAGTTTCTAGTTCCCACGAGTGTCACCTCCAGGAGAGCAGCGACATTGTCTGGCTGGATGACTGTTGCACTCCCAGCATCTGACCTAACGCACATTTGAGGAATGGATAGATAAATGAATGAATGGAAGTCCCTCCCAAAAAGTGGAGCTGCCTGCGCATGGCTCTTTTTGCACGTCCGTGTCGCGCTACAGTTACTGCCCCTTAGTAAGCACATCAGGCGACTTTGAGGACACAGACGGTGCCTGAAGACGTGCGATCTCCATTCAAAGCAAGGAAAGCGGAAGCAGCTCCCAAGAGAGAAAGGAATGTGTCTTAGATCGCGCTGCTGGCGGGTCGTGGCTCCAGCCAGGTTCTGCCCTCCAGCCCGCCTGCTCCCTGCGGGGACACTGTCCGCCTGGGGGGCTGGGACTAGCGACAGACAAAGACTCCTGGGGCCGCCACGCTGACAGAAATGCTCTCTTCCCCTCGCCCACCTCCCTGGCATAGAGCCCAGTACCACCGTGCACTGCCCGACCTGCGAGCTTCTGTCGCACCAGCGTCCGGGCCCCGGGCGGAGCAGACTGGTGACGCGCCCAGCCTCCTCGCTGCCCTCACTGGGTCGCTGGGGCAAGGGAGGCCACGAGCCCCACCGGCCTGTCACCTTCAGGGCCGCACCCCCGCCCGCCCGCCTGCCGCGGGTCCCTCAACACGAGCAGGCGCTGCCACCGCCGCCCGTCTGGGTCTCCACGCGCATCAGCCTCCTGGCGGCGCCACCCTCACGCCGCGCGCCCCAGGGCCACCCCCGGACTCTCCTGGACCCTACCTGCTGGGAGAGGGGGATGAGCGGAGCCGCCATCTTCCCGCGGACTCGGGCTCCGAGCGCCGGGGGAACGGAGGCGGGGCCGCTGCCGCGAGTGCGCACTGGTGCGAAAGACAGTGCGCGCGCAGCCGATCCAGGAGAGGGCGGAGCCAAAGACAGGGAAACGCAGGCGCAACCGGTGCGGGAGGGGCTGGGGCGGGTCCGAGGCGGGGCTGGGCTCGCGTAACCGGGAGGGGGCGGAGCCCAGGAGGCGTGCGTGCCGCTGGGACCCACGCGAGGTGTCAGCTAGGCTAGTCTAACTCACTGCCACCACCCTTGCCTTACTGCGTTGGTCAGACTCTCAGACATTTGGCAGCTGTACGAGTTTATCATGCCTCCGGCCCTTGCCTATGCCAGGCTGTCTGCTAGGGATGCTATCCCCATCCCGGTGCACCTACGGATGCACGATGCTGAGGTGGTCGCCCTCAAACTGCCCAAGGCTCCCTGTTCCTGGGATAGCTCTCTGTGTGTGTGTGTCTTCTAATCCGGGTCTGCCCCTTTAACGTCCTCTGCTTCAGATAGGGTTGGGCCAGCACTTAAGCTCTCTGTGCATTGCTCACAATGCCTGAGGTTATTTCTTAGCTGCTCTTTCTGTATGACCTTCTCAAGTCATTTAACTATGCTCTCTGGGCTCCTAGTCCCCTCTTCGGAAGAGAAGGAATGGTAGGTAACCTGTGTATGCCGTTTGTTATCTGTGCCTCACATTGCCCCACAAAGAGTCCCCAGGCACTTGATGGCTGCTGGAGGGCCATTACCAGGGGAACAGCCCTACTGCAGAGGAGCATTTATTCAAGCACATTTTGTCTTCCCTTGACTTTGGGTATCCACCACCCCAATTTCCACAGACAGGGTGAGAAAGGAAGTCAGATCAGGCAGCTAACCACAGCACAAGGCTTCTTTAGGAAAGGTTACCCCCTCCCCCCCCCAGCCACTGCTGCCCCATCCAGCCACCCTCCCTGCCACCCACCCCCTAGTCCCCTTGCCATGCCCCACATGATGGTGGCACAGTGAGTCAAGCCTGACACCAGTTCCCAGCAAGCAAGCCAGAAGGCTTGTGATCTCAGGGGTGGGGGTACAGCTGTTGGTCCATCTCCTCCTTTCTGGTGTCTCACAAGCTGCTGCTCCACATCTTCAGTAGACTCAGTGTGTCTCGTGCCATTCAGAGATGAGCACTCCTTTATCATTCATTGACCATTCACCTGCCAACCAAGTGTTGAGCACTGTACCTTTGCTAGGCCTGGCTTCCACATGAGTGCACTAATGGTGGACCAGACAGACACTTTCTTCCCCTAGTTGATAGTCTAGAACAGGAGTCTCTCCCTGGAGCTACATTAGAACCACACAAAGGGCCTGTTAAACACAAACTGGGGTTCTAATTCTGATTTGTAGCTCTAGGTGGGACCTAAGATGTTGAGACAGAGCAGGGATCCCTCTTAGGGGCCTGCCAAGCCCCTCGAGCATGGAAATAAAGGAAAATCTTGAGTGCCTGCAGGGGAAGTTCTGGCATCCAGTTCTGGGAATAGCAACAGTCCTCTACACAAGCCAGGGTCAAGAAGTGTTTTGGTTCCATATATAAACTTAACATATGTTCTTGAGGTATTTTTCAGAAACACTCACCTCAGCAGGGCCTGGTGGCTCATGCCTATAATCCTAGCACTCTGGGAAGCCAAGATGGGAGAATTGCTTGAGTTCAGGAATTCTAGACCAGCCTAAGCAAAAGAGATTCACACACACACACTACTAAAACTAGAAAAATTAGCCAGGCATTGTGGTGGGCATCTGTATCCCATCTACTCAAGAGGCTGAGGCAGGAGGATCTCTTGAACCCAAGAGTCTGAGGTTGCTATAAGCTAGGCTAAGGCCATGGCACTCCAGCTTAGGCAACAGCATGAGACTCTGTCACAAAAACAAAAACAAAAAAAATCCCCAAACTAGAAACACCTACCTTGGGACAGGATGGTGGCTCATGCCTGTAATCCTAGCACTCTGGAGGAGGCCAAGGTAGGTAGATTACCTGAGCTCACAGATTCAAGACCAGCCTGAGCCTGAGCAAGAAAGACCCTGTTTCTAAAAATAGCCAAGTGTTGTGGCAGGTGCCTGTAGTCCCAGCTACTTGGGAGGCCAAGTCAAGAGAACCGCTTAAGCCCAAGAGTTTGAAGTTGCTGTGAGCTGTAACACCATGGCACTCTACCAAAAGCAACAAAGTGAGACTCTGTCTCAAAAATAAATAAATAAATACACCTACCTCTATGGCAAATGGAGATAAGGGAAAACTGAGGAATTGAACTCTGATCTCACCATTTTTTGTTCTAAATTTACCCTGAGGATCTTGTCACACCCATTTTAACATTCCTTTCGACTAATCTAAAAATTTCTGAATCCACTTGTTACCTTACCCTCCACCCCTTACCTCCCCACCCCCAGCTTTAGCATATACTACTTTTGGGGGCCAGACCAATGTGTAACCTTCATGTATTGATTCATAATTTTGAGTTTTGCCTGCGTAAAATGCACCCCTTTGAAAACCCTGATTTGTAAACCATCAAGGAGTTCAGGTTTTAAGCTTTAGCTGCCTCCAAATAAAGCCTCTTTTCCCTTTGCAGCTGTCAGCTTCAGTTTTGGCTTTGCTGTGCCAGATGAAGGACCCCAGTTTGGTTCAATAGCAATGTTTGCATTTCCAAACAAATCCCCACGTGATACTGATGCTGCTGGTCCCAGGACCCCACCAGCCTATGTAAAGGAAGCAGACCTTAAACAAATATTCACATAAAGAGATAGATCACCATAAACTGTGAGAAGTGCTACAGACAAAGGTGTGATACCCATAGGTTGAGTATATATCAGTGATTGTGGGGCTGTTTATAGAAACTGCAAAGGGGGTTTTGACCTAGGTCTAGTTGCTCACCACACAAAGTCCAATTATTGAAACAATGAAGACTGCCAAGGAAGAAAGATTTTTTATTTATTTATTTATTTATTTATTTATTTTGAGACAGAACCTCAAGCTGTTGCCCTGCTGGGTACAGTGTTGTGGCATCATGGCTCACAGCAACCTCCAACTCCTGGGCTCAGACGATTCTCCTGCCTCCGCCTCCCAAGTAGCTGGAACTATGGGTACCCACCACAACACTTGGCTATTTTTTGGTTGCAGTCGTCATTGTTTGGCGGGCCTGGGCTGGATTCGAACCCACCAGCTCAGCTGTATGTGGCTGGCACCTTAGCCGCTTGAGCCACAGGCACCAAGTCAAGAAAGATATTTTTAATATGAAAGTTGTCCTGTTGGGGGAACCTGCCTCGAATCCCTCTCTCTAAGGAAGATCATGGGTTTTTAAAGAAGGTGTTGCAGGAAGATGAGGCCCAACGGAGAGAAAGAACAGCCAAACACCATAGTTATAGGAGGAAGGGCTTTATTCATCGGCCGGGAGCTTAGGGCATAGAAGATTTCCAAATGGCCGTGCTCCCAGCCAATGAATAAAGCCCTTCCTCTTATAACTATGGTGTTTGGGTGCTTTTTCTCTCCATTGGGCCTCATCTTCCTGCAACATTTTTGGTTCCCTGACCGGGAAGCAAGATCACCCTTGGAGAGAACATGCACCTGGTAGTTGCCACCAATCCTCTGGACACCCAAGTGGGGGCCCCGATAGGCCTGGGCGACATGAGTCACTGAGCGCGCCAGGGAGGCAGTTTGGCCTCCCTGTGTGGACACCTCCACTGGGCTGAGAAGGGACCCCGGTGGCAGGTCTTTGAGGAGTCAAACACCAGGAGGAACTGGCATGTAGGGACAGGTACCTACACAGGGAGACATCTAAAGCAAGGTAGGATCCATTTGGGGCCCACTACAATTTTAGTGGAAGAGGAGCCTGATCACCTCCTGGGCATTAGATCGCCAGCAGATCTGTTGACAGGTGTGTGAGACCAGATCTGCTAGATCCCTAGCCGATCTGTGAAAGGTGTGTGAGAGTGTATGGATGTGGTGTGACTGGGAAAACTCCAAGGTTGGAGTTGGATCGCCCCTCACAGGGCCTAGGGGAGTGTTGATTTGCCTCCTATGGCTAAGTGGCAGTTCGAGTGGGAAATCGAGGCTGCCCAGGTTAAGAAATGCATTGGAATTGTGTGCATGTGAGTGCTTGGAGAATGACTGAGATGAGTAACAATATGTGGTGTTTTGCCCCCCCCCATTCACAGGGTGAAACGAATGTGTGAGTGTGCCCTTCTTCCCTGCTCCAACTTTGCCCCCCTGACTATTCTGAGGGAAACTGGAAGTTCCAGGTTTTCTGCTCTTTGTCTTTGGTGACTGTCACATGACCATGTCTTCTTGGGGGAAAATGGAAAGACATTAGAAAGGGTTTTGTAGTTTTGTTACTGGAATTTCTTCAGTAAGTTTTTGGTCTCAGGAATTTGAGAATTGAGACTGCGGGCCACAGATCAGTGATGAAATGGCATTTTGTTAAACTGAGGGACATGCAGAAGGAGTAAAGAGTGCCAGAGCTACTGGCAGAGGAACCATGCCTTGGAAAGTGTTGTGGTCCGGGCAGTCTGGTGAGCTCTGGATGGCCCTTGAAAATCTGGAGGAGAGAGTGTAACTCTCATGGAGAACGGTGCTGTAACCATATCAGCAACAGGTCTCCTGGGTGGATAGCCTCCGAAAGGGGGGAGGAGGCCCAGGTCAGAGATTTCTTGCATGAGTCCCTTGTCTAGGGGTAAATAGTTGGCCCTGAGAGATATTTTGGCCAGGACTTGGTAGATGAAAAAAAAAAAAAACCTTTACAAATTGAATGGATGTCCCAGCAAATGGATGAATGCAGCCCCTCACCTTGGACAAGGTTGTTAGGTCTTTGCAGCAGTTTTTGTCTGGGGAGAGGATTAGGGGGTGTGCTCCTTAGTCTGGGTGGAGCCAGCCAAAAGGTTTCAGGCTACTTATTCGTGACCTGGCTGGGGCTCAGAGTTTGTACCTGGAGATGAGAGTCTGATATCTGAGCTCCCCTGAGCCTGAAAAATGGTGGTTCTC